AACATTCAAATTACTTTTAACAGCCATAAATTAGAACACATAACATAAAGGCAACCAAACAAAAGCAAGTTAAAGAGATTAATAAAAAGAAAGTTGAACTTTACGAAAACTAAAGAGACCATCAATAAATTATAGATAAACAATTCATAACACAACATGAAAATGAGTACACTAAAGCTAGAGATTAGAACAGGCATCGCAGAAACTCTGAAGTTCAGGCTGATTTTCAATTTTCTTCGTTGCAAGCTCTTTCCCCTTTCTTATAGTTATAAACAGCGCCCGCAGAGTAAAAACAGATGTCAGCTTACCAGCGCGTCTCAGCTTAATCGCCTCTTGCAGAAGTTTTCTGTTTTTAACTGTGAGGCTTTCATAAATTTCAAATCGCCCCTCAAATCCGATGGCGCTAAGAGAAATTTGCTGCTTCGTACTCTTCCGGTAATCTCTGAATGCGCTTAAGGTGCGGTTTCGACCTATTGGTGAATGGAATTTCACTATGACCGCTCCACTTTCGCTTTGGTTTGAGCGCGACTTAGTCCGGAAAATGTCTCTTATTTGAGGAGCTCAGTTTATTTTCAAGAGAACTTTCCCTTATTTCCAGCGATGCAATTTGAGCGGCTGGCTCTGCCGTTTTTGTTCTCAATAGCGCTATTTCTTCGTCTATTCGCTTTGTCAGCTTATTCTCGATGTCCGCCATACTGGATGAGAGACCATCAAATATCGATTGCAGCTTTTCAGTTTGACTCTGCACTTTGTCTTCTAAGTCTCTTAGCGTCAAAAGTACCGTAGATAGAACGATGCTCTCATCTAACTTCGCGGTTTTGTTAGCCGCCTTTAGAGCCTTTACTTGGGCGGCGCTTAAGAGATACCAAGGAAGGGGGCATCACTCACCAGGAACAAAGGCAGGGAAGCAGCTTGCTATTTCAAGCGTTTTTCAGCACACAGCTTTTGAAGCAAACACAGGTAATAGCACGTGACAATACAATTTAGATGAATGCAGATTATTGCTTATAACGCAAAAAATATAGTGTAAAAAGCGCAGAGCTTAAGAAAGCACGTCTGCTCACTGCGATGCGTGTTTATCCCCTTGCAGGTTTTTCCTTAAATTCTACATCGCAAAATTCTGCAAAATGTTAAAAAATTCTGCTTGATCAAAATTCTGTATTTTTTTAATTCTGCTTTTTCTAATTCTCCTTTTTTAAAATTCTGCTTTTGAAAGTTCCGCAGTTTGAAATTCTGCCTCACAAAATTCTACTTTTCGCACTTTCGTCTTTCAATATTCTGCTTTTGTGGTAGATAAATCTAAAAAATTTACCATACTCACATCTTTGGCTGTGTGAGACGGGTTGGAAAAATTTACTATGGTGTACGTATAAATTGAATTTTGCTGTGCCAAATGCAAAGTAAAATTTTGACAATTGAAAAACCAAACAAACGCTCGTCAAATGCTTTATTTTTGTGTTTGCGGAAATTGTTAAAATTGATATCTACTTTATAACTTGCAAGTAACGTAAGCCTTATTATGCTTTTCTCAGCTTTCATTTTGATTTTGACTCTTTATTACCGCCAAACAATGTTAGGTTTATTCCGCAAGCTACTCGAAGTCACTTCGAGTTGCACATACATACGCGTTCCACAAGTAAGTTTTAGAGTTTCTTTGATATACGCTCACAGTTTGAACTTTGCTCGAGTTTTTCTACAAGTAGAGTGTGGAACAAACCTGTCATTTTCATTGTCATTTATTAATCTATGCTTTAGTACAGTAAGATTAGGTAATCTTTTGTAGTGCAACAGTAATTTATATATGTATGAGGCAATAAAGGTTAAAATGAAAATATTTAATTTGGACTAACGTAAGATAAACAAAACTGGCACAGGTATTGGCCCTCTCCCCCTAACTATCAAATTTTTGCCTAGATATTCAAAAATAGTACCACGAAATGCTTGCATGATAATTTCGGCCCCCCCTAAATTTCAAGGTTTTTCCTATGTATATACTGTATAACAAATTATACTCCCAACGCTAACTAAATAATTAGTAAATTGATTTGAAAAGTAGATA